AGAATGTTCATGTTTGAGAAAAGGATTTGAATGTTACTATTTATGGGATGCTATTCGTATGCAGTTTAATGTACGGGATTGAAAAATATTATTTTGGCAGTTGCGAGAATATCTTTTACTCCTATCCTAAAAGGATTCATAAAAAGTGTACTGTAGATAGTTAACCGTATAATTATTTGAAAAGGTTTTGAAGAATTTTAATGGTAGCATCTTGTTAAGTTCATTTATCTCCCCTGTAAAGCTTTGTTAGATTTTTAGTATATCGATAAAATATAGATATTATTATAATCACAAATTCAGAATCTTTTCAAATAATATACCACTTTTTGCATTACCTCAATTTGTTTTAAAAAAAAGCCTACTAGCTAAAAAATATATATAATAAAATATAAATCATAATCTGAATGTTTTGATCCTAGTTAATTATTGCTGTTCAAAATATACTGATTTCTGTGCTTGCATTCTTATTATATAACACTTTTTCTGTCAGTAGATTAGTTCCTAGAAATTTTGCCTGGAGTACAGATGTTAGGTCAATTTAAATATATAGGCCGGTATTTCTTTTTCAGCTCTCATTTTTATTTAACAATGATTCATTTATTAATTCGATATCATCCTTTTTTGTAGTGGTATTTCTACCAGTATATTTATTAGTGGTAAAAACAATACCGTATGGTTTTGGTGGTAAAAATAATACCTTTAATGATCCATATGTGCTAATTTGGTTTGACCATAAATTATCCAATTGTGATTGAGGACTATCGAAGAATTTTTCATTTAAAAATTATTGCAAGTTTTCATAAAAACGGACTTTTAACTTACTTTGAAACTACAATTATGTATATAGAATATTATATACATATTAATTATAGGCCATTTATTAACAATACCCAAACGTTTACAAAAACGGTAATAGTGTTTCTTTTACGGCTTAGCATAGTTATTTTATTATTTTTTACCTCTTAAGTGTTTCGCTTATTATTTTTCACGTCACTTAATCGCAAAAAT